ATGAGTAATATGTCAACACAAGGCTTCATAGTGGTGATTTTGCTCAGTGGTTCAAAATATGCAACTTTCTTTGGAAGCTGAAAACATTCTAAGATGGCCTCTTTTCTCTGCCCTCTCCCCCTCCCCCACTCTATGCCTTTAAGGCCTAGTGACATTGCCAGTTCTGGAAGGTGAAAAAAATTATACATATAAATTATATAAAATTATAACATATATATATATATATATATATATATATGCATATATATTTTTTCAATAGAACCTTGTAATCATGCTAGTTATAGGCTTCCCTGGCCAGTATAGCAATTGATTTTAGGTTTGAGTGGCTTCATAATAAAGGTTATTATAGTTGTTTTTCTTTTTTCAAAGACCAAACTTCTTGATACTCTGAGAAGAGATAAGAGAAATGGAAACCAGCATTCTTGCCCTCAAGATGCTATAGAAAACTAGATGTTTTACCCCCATGACTACCAAATAATCACTTTCCAGATCTTTCTCCCTGAGTCTGCTACAAAAAAAAAAGCTCACTCGCTCTCACGTTGTCTCTCTCTCCCTCCCTCCTTCTCTCCCTCCCTTCTTCCCTCTTTCCCTCCCTCCCTCTCTCTCCCTCTCTCTCCCTTTCTTTCCCCTCCTCCCCTCTCTCTACTGGATTTAAGGGGATGAACTCCTGTAGAAATTCAGTAATAAGTTTCCATGAATGATGTCATGTCCTTGCCTGAAAACAAGCATTGTCTCTTGGATATTTAAAAAAAAAATTCTTAGTCTACTTTTGAAAGCTTTCCACAATCATGTTGCAACTTCCATTTCCAGCCTTGTTTTACATCACTGGCACTCTGACCATCCACCTGTCATTCTTGACAGAAAACCATCCCATGATTTTTTCTGTCATGAAGTTCTTTTTGCCTATATTCTTATTTCTTTCCTTTGTTTATATGTTCCAGCTTGTTCACACTTGACACTTTCCCTTGCCCTCTATGTGGTAGGCCTCTTCAGTTCTTCAGATGCAGTGATGTTCTCACTTCATGCATTATGCATTCTGAGCAAATTGAATGACAAGCTATTTACTAATCTCATCATGCCTGCCCTCCCTGGCTGTCCCCTATACCTGTAGTTCCATACCTCAGTTGCTGAAATCCTTTACTTCCTTCCTAAGGCTTTCCCTATCTCATACAGCTGAAAGTGATCTTGTCTTGCTAAGATTTTTCAACTCAAATACTCAAATGAAGTTTTGGTCTTATCCATTTGAGATTCTAATAATATAGATCACAACCCATCACGCTTGCTCATTCTATGTGACTGTTGTCTAGAAAAGAAGCTCTAGCTGCAAAGAACCGCATGAATTCATTAAGAACATGTCATACTAGACTAAACTTTCTTCCTGTCATGAAAAGATGACTGTGCTGTTATATCACAAAAAATATTACAGATGTAGTTTGCTTAGATTTTGACCAAATATTTGACAGGACTTTCATGCCTTCTTGTGGAAAACGAAGAAATATGGATTAGACTATAAACAATCAGGTGACTTTGGGACTGGTAGAATAGCAGCATCCAAAGAGTAATTATTAGTGATTCATTGTCAACTTGGTAGGTTGTAAAATGCCCCAGAGATCTCTTCTTGGCATTGGTCTCTTTAACATTTCTATCAGTGGCTTAGATAAAAGCATAGATGAATATTTACCAAATGTGGAAAAGCCATAAAGCTAGGAGGGATAGCTAACACATTGGATGGTGGTCGATATTCAAAAAGAACTTGACAGGCTGGATCATTGAGCTTACTATCATAAGATGAAACTTGGGGTAGGGACTCAAGTCAATAAACATTTCTTAAGTGCCTAACACACACTGGGGATTCAAAAAGACTCAAAAGACAGTCCCTGTCTTCAAGGAGCTCACAATCTAATAGGGGATAGAACAGGCAAACATGTGTACAAACAAGCAGATAGATAGAATAAATAGGGACTAATTAAGAGAGAGAAGTGACATCCCATTTCATTCATATACCATAATTTTTCAGCTGTTTCTCAATTGATGAGCATCTAGTTTGTTCTAGTTTTTCACTGACACAAAAATACTGCTATGTTGTTTTTAGTATACATTGAACATTTCAACTTTTGGAAGAGAGATCTAACTTCTTCTGCATGACCCCAGTAACAGAACTAGAATCAATGTTTAGCAAATTTGGGTTTATACAAAGAAAAATAAAAAAACTTCTTTACTATTAGAGCTATCTAGAAGAAGAATAAGCTACCTTAGGAAATAGTGAGTTCCCCTTTCACAAAAAGTCTTCAAGAAAAAGATAGATAACCACTTTGGGGGTATGTGGCAAAGGGGACTTTTTTTCATTCATTGTTGGAGTAAATGCTTCTGAGGTCCTTTATGATTCTGAGATTATGTGAAATGAGCTCAAGCCCCTCCAGAGAGATTTCCTTACTTAGTCTGTCACTCAACAGAGTATTGCTTGCAAAATAGAGCCATGTTGTATCATTTTTATCTTTTTATTTCTTTTTGGGAAAACAAGAACTATGATTTCACTGATATACGGAATTCCTTTTGTGGAAATTCTTGCCAGTAATGCAAATGGGCCACTCATCTCTATCTCAGAGTTAAGAGAATTGCTTACAGCTCTGAGAAATTAAGGGTCTTGCCCATGGTCACCTAGCATTTCAATTCAATAAACATTTATTAAGGGCCTATTTATTATCTACCTAGTAACTGCCTGGTACTATACTAAGCACATTTAGAGATGGAGCTTAAACACAGGTCATTTTGACTCAAGGCTGTCCTTCTGTCTAGTCCTTCATGCTGTCTTTCTATTTTTTTATGCTATACTAAAGATTATCATGAAAATAAAATTATTGACAAGTATTAGCAAAGTACATTAAATTCTAAACAAGACTGAGATTTGCCAGAAAAAAAAATTAGATATTTTTCTTTTCGGAGTCAGGACCACATATGAAATTATCTTTTCAGGTATTTACTATTCCTACAATTTCTGTGCTTATGATTCCGTAATTAAACTAGTTCTGCAAGCACACAGTAAAAAAAAATTAAAAAGGAATAGACTTGATGTCACAAAAACCTGGGTTCTCATTTTAGCATTGACAAGTCTGAATTGGTTTCTTCTTCTATAAAATGGGGAGAACATTACTCAGATTTTGTGTATCTGAAGTTTGTTTTGAGGAAAGCTTTATAAACTATAAATATGATGTGTCTATTATTATTATTATTATTAGCTGTCTACATATCCTAGTCCCCAGTTCCATTAATTTCATTATGGAACACAATGTTTTGAGTTCAACTGGCCCTGGAGGATTACCTGAGTATTTATTCTACCAGGTGACCCCTGCCTCAATTAGAGATGAAAAACACAAAACTATTGGTTTTTACAAAGAAAGTTAAGGCATCTATTGTTAGAGAAGTGATGGACTGAGGGTGCAGATTGAATCGTGTATTATTTGGACATGGCCAATGCAAGAATTAGTTTTGTACAACTATATTTGCTACAAGGGTTTTGTTTTGCTTTTTTGTCATCATGAGGGATAGGGAAGGAGAGACAGAAAAGAGATTTTTATTCATTGAAAAATAATAAAATTTTACAAGAAGAAATAGGGAAAGGAATATGTGAAAGTTAGGGACCTGTGTCTGGTTGGAAGAGGGAAGAGATGAGATTAGAAGTTTCACCTTTCTTGTTCTGCCAGAGGAATGGGATTGCAGGGAATAATTTAGATGGGAAGCTATAGGGCTAGACCACGATTGGGGAACCTGTGGCCTCAAGACCACATGTGGCCCTCTCGGTCTTCAAGTGCGGTCCTTAGACTAAATCCAAACTTCACAGAACAAATCCCCTTTATAAAAGGACTTGTTCTATAAAACTTGAAGTTGGTCAGAAAGCCACACCCAAGGACCTAGGCCACATGTAGCCCCAAGGCCACAGGTTCCCCACCCCTGGACTAGACTATAGGACTAAGCTAGCATCTCTTTCTTCTACCCCAATTCAAAGTGAAGTCAGAGGTTCTGAACTCCCTCCATTCATTTTCATAGATTAGGATGGGGAAAGGATACTAGTGCAAACTGAAGAGCCTAGTGTTTCTCATGTACTTAAAGCATTCTGTCATTTTATTTGTTGTATACATGTAAATTTTAATTCATAATATTCACTGGTAGCATGTGAGAGTTTTGTTTTGTTTTGTTTAGTAGGGGAGGCAGGTCATTAAAATATAAATCCGGAAAGGTGTGGGAAGTTGTTGTTGTTGTTTTTTACAATTTTTTTATGCATGTGTTTTCTGAATTGTTTGGCTTACTCCTAGTTCTTAATCAAATTTGTCAAGCCCCATCCTATAGGGAAAAAAAAAGATCTTATTTTTCAGTGACCCTAAAGCAGTAAGGGGAAATATGTTTTGGGGCAGGGTTCAGGAAAGCCCAGCTCAAGAAACCCAAAAGTCTCTAGAGATCATAATCTCTAGAAAGGGTATGTCTGGCACCTTTCATAAATACTAAACACAGAAGGAAAAAAATTAGGTTTAAAATTAAATCTCAGCAAACCATGTTCTGTCTTTAAATGTGGTGGGTTTTGTTTGTTTGTAATTTCCTCCCTAATCCACTGCCAGAAACAATAACTTCTAGTACCTCAATAAACTAATATGCCAGTTTATATTAAATTCATCAGGATGTTAATAGCAAGCTATGAAGAAGAAAACTTTAGGTTTCTTTGTTCTCCTTTGATATACTTAAGAGGTTGCTAGATTCTAATGAGGACAGGGATATGCTTTTTTTAAAAAAAAAGATTGTTCTTTGTACATTATTATATGCTTTCCAGTTATAGATAAAGTAAATTTTATGTAAAACATGTGTCCAACAAAAATACTTTAACATTATTAGAAACAACAGAGATGACTACAAAGGATTCTAAAAAATGCAAACCTGTACTCTTAAAAATCTAAATCCAAAGCTGGGATAAAAAGTTACTTGCTAACCAAAGGTAATATTTAATTTGTTAGGTACGTAAAGAATATGGGAAATGTCTACGCACACATTGCTGTAGTGGCAAAAGTACAGAGAGTTCCATTGGCTCAGGGAAAACATCTGGTTCTCGAACTCCTGGACGCTATTCCACAGGCTCACAGGTAAACAATATATTTATTAACTGAAGGAATGTCTGATGTCCACACACTATTTTGATTTACTATCTATTCTTCCTTAGTGATGAGCACTATCCCAAATGTTAAACTCATAAATTGTTGGAGGGAGAAAGGTTCCTCCTCAAAATGGTATTAGATTACAACAGAAATTTAAAAAGTTACAATTACAATAAAATCACAAAATCGCATGATAGAGTATAGGCCTGACTGAGGATTTGAGACACTGAAGGTTTTATTTCATATTAGCTCTATACTACACAACACGGAAGAATTGAACATGATGTAAAAATCTAAGCTATACAGAGTTGGCATTAATGATCTAAATAGTCACTAGTTCAGTTAGTGTTCAAGCAGACTCAAGAAGTTTGCTGTTTCAATCAAGACGTAAATAAAACCCTAAAAATATTACTGACATCTATGACAAAGTAACTGCTTGTTTTGAGTTGTTGTTTTTTTTCATTTAATGTCCTGAAATAATTTTCAAATAAAATTATGGTACAAAATTATTAATTATAAGGGTAACACTTCCTCAAACTACGTTATGTGACGCTATTTTAAAAAAACCATCATATTCAAAGACAAGGTCCACTGACTTGTATATGATAATGGATTTCTAGCAAGACTCATCCAACTGCTTAATCCAGTTTTCACAATAATAGATAAGCCATTCCTTGATGGACGTGAACCAAGATCTAGAAGATGTTATACACATACATGCATTACATTGAATATGTTAATTCCAAGACTGTCTAGCCTGTATCCCATGAAACTTAATCTTGATGTATTTTGTTCCATAGCTTTAGCCTGTTGAGACACATTGGCTATCTCTCCAAGCTTAAAGATCTCCACATACATGATAGGTGTGTCAGCAATATCTTTATCCAAGTAAATAATAGAAACATTGACTAGAACAGAGCCAAACATGAGATGCTATGGCACCTTGATTGAGACCACCCTTTAGGTTGACACCAATCACTATTCTTTTGGTTCAGTCTTTTAGTCTGTTCTATACTATCTAACTATACTCTCCAAACATTCACTAAATAACTGTTTGGCACAGACCACTCACTGTGTGGGGATTGGGGATAAAAAGACAAAAATGAAAGAAAAATGCTCTCAAGAAATCCTTATTCTCCTGAAAAATGCTGCATGTATACAGACAAGTAAATTAAAAGTAATTTAATAAGGAAGAGGCACCATTGAATAAAGAATCAAGGAAGGACACAACCTGAACTGAGCCTTAAAGGAAGGTAAAGATTCGAGATTCAAAAGTAAGGGAGGAATTACATTCCAAGCCCCGGGTTTGGCCTCATGGATTTAGTGAAAGATTCAGTTAAATGACTCTGAAAATTTTAACTTCAAATTGCCCTCACATCATGTGTGTCTGCCACATCTATCTCCACAGAGGGATAGCATTTAACATTTGTTAGCCATATTGTCTGAGCAGTCTGTCATTCCTGGTCAAGGTGGCTGCCTTTATTTCATAAAACCCAAAGAACTAATTTAAATAATCTTGAATACAAGAAACAGCAAAAAATATAGGCCAAAGAGATAAGATAGGGAGGAAGAGTAAATGAGTTTGGGGAAAATGACAGCAATTTTTAAAAAATTTCATGCCTACATAAGTAAAGAGAAACCAATTATGATTTTTTTTGTTAACAAAACCAGTCATATTTATCAATAATTAATTTTATCTGAGTATTTTACCTACCAAATTGTGACACATATATAATAAATATTAATAGTTCTAATTTTCTAGAAACACATGACTTCTGATATGTATTTTAGAGATAAACGACAGATTCTTTTTTATACTTTTGAAGATATAAGATGAAAATGTGTGCTCTTTTAAGAATATCCATGGTGTGCTATATTCGAACACTGTTTCTTTTCTTTTTGTTTTAGATTTTATTGATGCCTTTTGGAGGCTTTGTTTTGTTTTCTTTTACATTATTGTCACTTTTTAATTCAAATGCTAAAAAAATTATATTCTCTTATGACAAAAAATTTCAATTAAGCAAAAGAAGCTGATATTTTGAGCATTTCTGACCACAGCCTCCTCATTTCACTTAGTAGTCCACCCCTTGCATGTAGAGAGGAAGAGGAAATAGCTTGAGTTGAGACTGTTCCCTGCACAGAGTTGAATTCTGATACCTCTTCCTGTTATTTTCTTTTGCATTATTTTGGTTATTGTGTGTATTGTTGTCTACTCTGTTAAAGGTCAAACAAATGTGGGTCAGCATGGTATGGTGTGATGGCTGCTGGTGTAGAAATCCACCACTACTGTCACTCCCTGTTTGGTATTAAGCAAGTCACTTGTCCTCTCTGGAGCTAGCTCAGTATCCTCATCTACAAAATGAGGGAGTCAGACTAGATGGTATCCAAAGTCTCTTCTGGCTGTAAATTTTTGATCCTGTGATCCCATAAAGTTTGGCTTTGACTTCCCTTTATTCATCATTTCTAATGTTATGGAAATATTGCATCATATTCATTTACTACAATTTTTTTAACCTTTCCCCAATCAGTTGAAATCTATTCCATTGTGTTGATTATGCATGTCACCTTAATGCCCTTGGCCCGAACCTGGTCCATATTGATAATTACTTAGAGCAACTCCCTGTGTTTGTTGTTTGGGTAAAAAGAATTAATTTGTTTCCTAATGACTATGGTCTATGTTTCAAAAAAAAAATCATACTGTTCAGTATGTATTCATGAAATAACATTATTTTATTCAGTGAATCAAGAGAATAAGACTCCTCCCAAGAACATAAGATCATTTTTGATTACTTCCATAGTGATTTAGGAGAATTCATTCTTTTTTTTTCTGGCATTTAAGGGGTTCATTCAGTTATATGTTAGCCCTAATGCTACCCTGAGTCTAACTGTTAAGGTACTAAAAATCTCCATGTGTATGTTCTTCAGACATCTCAAAATGTTCAAAACAGAACTCAACAGGTTCCCCTCAAAGCCTGGCCAACCCCCCCCCCCATGCCTTATGCATCAGTTACAATGCTAGCTGTTCACAATTTTCCTGTAGAATATTTACAAATTTTCTGCAGCTTTTAGTCCTAATGAGTATTTAAAAACTAAATTTTTAAAATTCACAGACTACATTTAATACACTTTGAATTCTACAAACCATAGGTTTCTCTTTTTCATTTGTTTTGTGGTATACATGGATGATACCTAGATTAATTTCTCTGATTGTCATAGAATAAGTCTAATGGAAAGATTTCTATTTAGTTTCTCCATTGCCCTGGTCAGCCAACTTCAAAACCTTGAATTCATCTGTGATTCTTCCCTCTCCTTTAGCTTTTCAATCAATTAGTTATCAGTTCTACCCCCAGAAGTAGCTGTATTCTGCTTTTTATTACCACTACTATTTTCATCATTTCTCTGCTGTTACTATTATACCAGCCTCCTTATTGACCTTCTTCCCTCATGTCTCCCTCTTATGCATCGTGTCCTTCACAGTGTTGTCCATATGATTTTTCTAATCCTTTGCTCTAATCTTTTCATTCCCTTAGTCAAAAATCTCTAGCGGTTCCCCATTATCTACAAAAACAAAATGAAATTTCTTATCCTGGCATTCAACAACCTTCCTCTATTTCATGTATTTTTTTTCTGGCTAAACTGAATGACTCATTCACTTTTCTCATCTTGCTTTCTTATCCATGCTAGAAATAGATTTTCTTTCCCAATTCGCCTGCTGAAATAACTTCCTTCAAACTCTATTCAAATAACTCATTTTGTATGAAATCTTCCTCAATCCCTTAGCTAGAAAAATCTCTTGTCACTTTTTGAATTTCTCACATTGAGCCTTGTAGTATAATTATTTGTGTTTATTTCCACCCTCACCTCCATGCCCACTTTTATTAGATTATAAGCTCATTTAAAGGCCAGGGAAAGGATCTTATTTCAGCTTCGTGTCTTCAACACATCTAGCACAGGGCCTTATACCAGGTAGACACTTAATATGTTTATCAAATTAAATTGATTATCTGTACTTTTCAAGATGTCCTTTCTTTAGAGAGGATAATTAATCTCTTTTTATTATACTGTGTAGCTTCAGAAACTTCCTTTTTTTCTGCCTAGAGACTTAAGCTGTTCCAGATCTGAGCTCATCTTCTCCTGCACAGGTATCACATAGCTTCTTGCACTTCATCACCTCTAGTGACAGTAATACATTTCTGTGATGTGAAGAAAAGGAACAGAAGATTTACTGATGTCCTTTGTGCCTGAGAAATGTACTTGATTGTGTGGGGCATCAAAATAATGGCACTATAGGAGATGACTCATCTATCCAGCATTCACTGTGTATTATAATTATAAAAATAGCAACACAGCACCTCACAGTCCTCAAGAGAACACACACACACACACACACCCCAACCATCTGTGCCTTTTTTGTAGGAGTTTAGTGTAAATTTTGTGAATATTTTGTTTCTACCAGACTATGCTTTATTTTCTCCAACTCTCCCAAATAGGAATGTCTAAGGATAAAGAGTAACCCAAGTTCTTTCCCTTTTCTGTCATATTTTAAACGACCTTATAGATATTTTAGTTCATTGTATAATTGAAGAAACTAAGGCAAAGAGAAATTAAATGACTTTCCCAAAATCTAACATATGATAAGTAGCATAGGTACAATTTGAACTTTGCTCTTTGACTCTAAACACAACATTGTTTACACTTCCTAACACTGTCTCCCTAAGGCACTAAAGAGAATGATGAGGACTGAGAAGAGAAAGCAGAGCTCTTCAACCCTTATTTTGTTTCTATTTTTCTTTGCCACAAAGAGTTGTATTTGAATTGTAAAGGGCAGAACATGGCCTTGATAGTCAAGAAAGGTAGAAGGACCCTGGGATTTGTGTTTGCTGGATCATTTCAATGGTATTTGAAAAATCAGACCTTGGTGGAAGTGCCACAGAATTTTTTAAAAGGGCAAATGTCTCTGTTTTCAGAAAAGAAAAAAGTAGAGAATG